TCTGCTTCTCCCTCTGACCCTCCCGACCCTCCCCTCTCTCATACTCTCTCTCTCAAATAAATAAATAAAATCTTTAAAAAAAAAAAGAAAGAAAGAGGCATCTTTGTTTGTTATTCACACTGGGAAATTTATTATGCAAATTTCTTACAGGAATTGTTGAGGAGTACCAGTTGCCTTACTATGACATGGTGCCTTCAGATCCCTCAATAGAGGAAATGAGGAAGGTTGTTTGTGACCAGAAGTTTCGACCAAGTATCCCAAACCAGTGGCAAAGCTGTGAAGTAAGTATGTTCCTTTTTGGCCGGGGATGGGGGGGCAGGGAGCAGGGGAAAGGGGCAGAGGTAGAGGGACAGAGAGAATCTCAAGCAGGCTCCATGCCCAGCATGGAGCCCAATGTGGGGCTCGATCTCTGGACCCTGAGATCACGACCTGAGCCAAAATCAAGAGTCAGACACTTAACAGACTGAGCCACCCAGGAGCCCAGGCTATGTTCTTATATATGTTTTATCTATTATAATTTTGAGGTAAGTATCAGGAAGATTTTCAGAGACCATATAGTTCTTCTCTCTTAATCTAGGCATCCAGTTCATGCCACATATGTAAGTATATGTCCTTGTATCAGTCTTCAGAAAGATTTTCTTCCCTTTAGCCATATGTATACAGAATGCCAAGATAAGGGGCAATAACAAGCCCTGGTATCCCCAGTGACTTTACGCAACAAGACTGTTTCTTGCTTTGTAAAGTCCCCTACAGGTCAGGCAGCTGTGCTCCCTGTGGTGATTCTGTGATCCAGGTAACTTTGATTTCGGGATGCTGCTATCTCAACACATAGTTTCCAAGTGTCTAGGTCAGGAATAGAGAGGAGCTGGAGGGTCACACATGGCTCTTTAATGCTTTGGCTTCAGGTGACTCACATCACGTCTACTCATGATTCATAGACCAGAGTCAGTCACGCAGCCTGATCTGCCTGAAGGGGGGCTGGTAACTGTAGGAGCACAGCCATGTTTGATCGTCAATGTCCATGCCAGACGGAGTATTACAATTCAGTCATCTTTAGAGTCAGTAAATTTGCCGAAGTTTGAGCTTATGTTCTTATATCAGAAAAGCTTCCTCATGGCAGAGTTCTCTCCTCATCTCCGACAATGCATACGTTAAGCATCATGTCGAAGGCATTCAGTGTGGTTATCACAGTGCCTGTTCTGCCTTACATGAAGCTAGAGACTTTTCTGGTTCCCACAGGGAGAAGGAAGGGAATAGGAGGGAAAGACTACAAACCATCTAATTCCTCAACTATTTTACTGCTTTAATCTCCACCAACCCCATTATTCCTATTATAGTCTACCATATTTAATTGTAATACTTGAGGTATTTTTAAAGTGACATTTTTTTAGTTTGGCTTTGCCAGAAGGGTTATTTTATACAGCAGTTTTTTCTTCCCTAATTTCCCCCCTCCTGCATGTTTCACTCATTTCTTTTTCTATTTAAGGAAGGAATTATGTCTCGATATTTCTATTTTGTATAGATATCTTACCTACATACTTATTTTAGAAGCAGAATTTGAGCGATTTACAACCAAATTGAAATTAAATTCTTCCTAATTTTAATAATTTTATGTATATGAAAGAATATGTAACATATATGTAAAGTTTTAAGTGTAATAATGATGTGAAAATTAGTGAATTCGCTACTAAGTTTAAAAAATAGAACAAAGATTCCTTACTCCTATGAGAGATTACTATGGTGATTATTTATTATTGCTTAACTTTTCTTTAGGAGAAAAAAATATATATTTATGTATAATTATATGTATATGTATACTCACACTAAAAATATATTGTTTACTTTTCTGTAATTGTGAAACATATTATTGAAACTTACTGTAGATATTCTTGTTAATTTCTTTTCACTTTCATTTATAGATGTAGCTATAATCTGTTCATTCTCATATTGGTGCAGTAGTCCATTATATGGCTAGAGTACAATTTTTCTTCTATTGTTGATTGTCTTCTGTGTGATTTTAACATTTTTAAACAATGCTGCTATATATATATATATGCATGTGTGGGGGGGAAATGTCTTAGAGTATAAAACTGTAGAATCTTTTGGGATGTCCGCATAGATGATCATATCTCCAAATAATGAGAGTTCTGGGACCAATCCTCAAGCCTTTTCTTTACTTCTTACTTTAGTTTCTAGGACTTCCAGTATAGTGTTGCTTGAAAGTTGATAGTGGACATCGTGTTTTACTTCATAAAATTTTGTATATTTCTCCTTTCAGTATGATACTTGCTGTAGGTTTTGTTGTCAAAACTTTAATCAGGTTACATAAAAACTGAATTTGTTTTGATAAAAGCTTTCTTCCTACCTACGAGGTGAAGATATGGCCTCTCTACTTTCTCGTCTCTTAATGTGAAATTGCATTTATAAATTTTCCACTGTTAAACCAATCATACATTCCTAGAATAGACCTAAATAGTCATTTTTTATGTGATCAATTTTTTACATTGCTGATATAAACAATTTTTGTCCATTTTTGTCCAGTATTTTAGTTCTATTTTGTTTTGTATTAACCCCATGTATTAGATACTGGTGTAATTTTATACCATTATTATTTGTTTAAACTTAAGAACATGTTTATCATTTTCTTTGTTCAACATTCCTTTTTGCTTCTCAAAGCTTCCTTCTAAGATCATTTTCTGATTTCCTGTTGTGCATTTCTGAAATGTATTTCATTTAAATTGTTTTTTTAGAAGGACTTAGAAGTGATGAGTAGTGATGTTGAGCATCTTTTCATGTGTCATTCTAGGTCATTACTTCTTCTAGGTCATTAATTCTAACATCTAATGTTTTGATGGGTTTGATTTTACCGTTTGTTGTTTCAATTGATTCTTGCTTATGATACTTTATTTTCTCCTGTCTTGTGAATTTTTGTTTTGAGCTTAGGTTTACTGTAACATTTTAAGGCCTGGGCTTGATTTTTTCCTTGCCAAGAGTCAAGATTTAGATAATTTTCTTTACAAAATTCCTTCTAAGACTGATTCATCCTTATAGTCAGGACTTTGGAAACATCTTGACTTGATACCTTTGGGTGCTTTGGCTGCATTTTCTATCTTTTGCATGTGGTTCATCACTTCTGAAATTCTAGACTATGAGATCAGCTGATGTCACCAGAGTGGCCACTTGCTTCAGTGATTTCTTATATCTCTCTGGATTCCTGCATTCTCATTGTTTTCCCCTCTGAGTATTTATCTTATTTCTTGAGCAGTTCATTTATACTGTTTTTTTAATTCAGAAATTTTGATATTTACACCTAGATCATTATTTTATTATGGTATAATTTAAATGTTAAAATGCACAAATCTTAATATACAGCTTGATGAATAACAAAAAAAGTGTGCACATATGTACTTACCATCCAGATCAAGCAATTCGCAACTCATCCCATATCCCTTTTTGTCTTTCATGTCCTTTCTCAGAAGATTTTAAAAGATAGCTACTCTACCATATTCCCAGAAATCAGTGGATTGAATTTTCAATTAAAAATTAGTCTCCATAAGGGGTGTGTGTGTGTGTGCATGTGTGTGTGTGTGTGTGTTGACTGGATTTTTAAAGAAGTTTGGTCCTGATCTTCCGATACAGTTTTAAGTTTACTGTTTCTTCACCAGAGCTTAGCATCAATTCCTGGGTTTGTGGTTATGCTTCTCTTGGACTGTGTTTGTGTGACTAGCTAAAGTGTTTAATGTTTTTCTCTCTTAAAGGCACTCCGAGTCATGGGGAGAATAATGCGGGAGTGTTGGTATGCCAATGGGGCAGCCCGCCTAACGGCCCTTCGTATTAAGAAGACTATCTCTCAACTTTGTGTCAAAGAAGACTGCAAAGCCTAATGATGATAATTGTGTTAAAAAGAAATCTCTCACAGCTTTTTTTTTTTCTCATTTTCCCTCTTTATGTGAATGTTTTTACCTTTTTTTGGTTGTCGTTCTACCTCAAAGATAATGCAGTACAGTATTTAAGAGCTCAAATGCAACATGGAAAAAATAACTCTGAAGTCAAGCACAGGCAGGAATTGACTTCATCCCATCTCTGTGTTGTCTTTAATTTTATTTTGAGAAGCACCACATCAATTCATCTTTTTATTTAATAAGAAAGATATTACAAAAATGTAAAATAAGCTATATAAAACTAATACAAGTCATTAAGGTTTTATTTTACTTGAATCAAGAGCACATGAATGAAGAAAAAGAAATGTAAAAGCATTTTTTTTCTGAGATGAAAACACCTTCATTAAAAAATGTGAACTAGAGAACGTTATATCTCAGCAGAACTTTAGATGATATAATCTGCGGTTTTCTTTTTTTCTTTTTTCTTTTTTTTTTTAGTTAAGAAGGATCTTTGAAAAAGATACATATTGCCCTGAACTTTAGTGTCTAAAACACTTAAAAGGGGAACCTCTCAGTTGGAAGATGGAAGTGAGGTCCGAGTAGCCACTGACTTGGCCTCCCCTCTTCCTGCTGTCCTGTTCTTCATAATCCACCACCACAGCAACCCCTGAAGCTGTATGAAAGCCACCTCCATTGTTACTTCCTCTCATTTACAAAGGAGACATCCAACAGCTTGAAACATTGAGAAATCCCGCAAGTCACATACCTAGTGGTGGAGCTGGCTCTAGGTCCAAATCTTGTGATAACCCACACTGTAGACTTAGCTAGTTTCCTACTTTCCTGTTAATTCCCATATAGTACTTTTCTCCTTATGCAGAAACAACAGCTTTCATGATGGTATTCGTGGTTTAGTCAGACAGAAGACCATTTGGGTCATTCTGCACAATCATAATGGACCTGCATGAATTCTGAGGACAATATCCCTTGACATTTTCCTCATAGAAATTTCATAGTCTGCCTATTTGTTAGAGAAATATTAATGTTTTCTGAATACTTCCAGAGATTAAAGAGGCATAAAGATCCATTGTTAGAAGGGGTCTTTAAGATTTATTTCAGAGGTCCCCACTACTTTTGTACATACACACTTAGAACAGAGGGAGGAGGAAGTAGAAGATATTTTGAGAAAAAATAAGAGAACTCTTCAGTAACTGTAAATAGCTATTTCCCTACCCTTTCAAAATGAGCAAGTAGATGCAAAAGAAGTCTCATGGTACTCTTGCCTTTATTCTACTTCCTGTGGAGACAGAGGTGATGAATTCTGAATAATACATGGAACATGGAATCTTTCTTTCAAATCTGTAATTTTGTTTGGGTAAAAGAGATTTAACATGGTATCTTTTGTTGTTCTAAAACACTGTTTCCTAAGCTCTGTTCCTTAGAACATTCTTCTGGTGAGATGTCCCAAGACCAAAAGCATTCTTTGATAGATTCTTAGAAAGTGATAGTGCACATTAGCATATCATGTGCTTTGAGGAATCTAGCAGTAAAGAAATGTTGAGTTTTTTTGAATTAGATTTCCCAAGGTATTTGACCATGGAACCCTTTTATTAAGAGGAGGGGAAACCTTTTTACTACCCCACATTTCAGTGTTCTACAAAGCATAACTTGGGTAACAGTGTTTGAAAGGATATATCGATGTGTTTTCATGCAGATCACAATGTAGTGACTATAGTTCATTTCGCTATGGAAATATGTTACTGAACCCATCTTCATTTGACTGGGATGAGATATCGAAGGCAAATATCTGACAGCTGTGGTACTCTTACTAATGCAGTCATCCATTCGTTAAATAAGATAGGGGACCCCATATCTTCATTGCCACAATATTGGGGCCAATAGAGAAAAGATGGATAGGTTCTGCCCTCAGAGATTTTAAAGATTAATTTGGAAATGGGGACCAGGACGTAGGTGTCGGTTAGGGGGAAGGAAATAAATTGACAAAGTAGGGAGTCTTGAGTTCCGTATGACAGTGGGTTCTGGAAGTTACTTTCAATTTGCAAAACATTTAGAAGGTATCTTTATTGGGCTATTGCAGACAATCTAAATTATATAAGCAGTTTTTTAAAACGCATATGTGAAAGGATTTTAAAAAGAGCTTACGTGAAGGGGTAATCTTGCTTATGCTTGTTACCTTGATTTCTTGTAGATTGTTTTTGAATATATGAAAATGAAATTATTTATTTACTGTGGTTGTACTATAGTTAAATGGCTGTTCAAATAAATAAGAATAATATTTCCTGTTTTATTCACTAATGTTGGGTGAATATACTTACTTAAGTTTTGAAAGAATGTTTTAACATCTCCATTTTCCTCGACACTATGTTTTGTAATTTATTTGGATGTGTCCAAATAGAACTCCATATTTTTATTGGTTCAACTTTTACTCTAGAGAAATCTATACATTCTGAGATGTTTTTCTTGTTTTCGTGTTAGTTTACTGTAACTTCTAACTGACAAGTCTTATATCTTAATTACCAAACACACTTTTTAAGGAAAGAGGTAGGTCAACAAAAATGATCAAAAAGTTAAAAGTTCTCATTTTTTCTTAACTCCGAACATGATTATAAATAGAAAATGCTCACAAGAACAGGATAAAGTTTAGAGCATAAAACAAATTTATTGTATATATACCTATACTGTTAAATTTCATATTATTTGTTTTCAACGGAGTGTCATCGTGTAATATTTATTTCTTTTGAATTGTGTTGTAAGCAAAAAATATTCTTAGGCTCAATGTGTCAGTGTTCTTTGCTCCTTTCAAATATTTTGACTTTGGGTATAATATAAAGCTTGGGAAATTGCTATTTATGAAATGTCAGTACTGTATAAAGTGGTGATGGGGTTTCTATGCAACATCACTTTTTAAAATAAGAGAAACATTATTTGTTGTCAGTATTACAGCATGAACTTGTTGCCTTTAAGCTACATGTTCAAGGGTGTAATTGGTAGAGTTCTGTTGTGTGCTTTCTTCTCTGTCTAAAATATTTGGCATGTCACATCTAGAATTCTTAATTTATGTTCTGACTTGAAAGTTAAGTGAAACATGACTGTGTCGTGCACTATTTTAGGCATAGCACTTGCTTTTCATCTTTATACTTTCAATTAACTTTGCATTTTAAATTTTCATGATTGTATGAAAATAGTAACCTGGTTGCAGTGTCTGAAGACTTCAAAATCAGCTTTTATTTTAAAATGAAGATCTACAATAGATTCATTAGGTTACAAGTTCCATAAGAATTTATTATTCTTAATACTTCTACTTTAGTAGAATTATTAAACAAAACTACTACTGTGCTGGAATTTTGCCACCATGTGACTTACTGGGGCAGAGAAAACTCAGGGCTGTCTTAGAGTTTACGCAAAAATACCAGGGAACCTACTGAGCAAATCACCTGAAAGCAGGGAGCCCCCATTTGCTGTTATATGAAGTTCAACTTAAAATTGCTTAGCAGGGAATACTTTCTGATTATTTATTTAAAATATATATGGAGTTTTTTTTAAAGATTTTATTTATGAGAGAGAGACAAAGGGCACGAGTGGAGGGGAGAGGCAGAGGGAGAGGGAGAGGGAGTAGCAGACTCCCCGCTGAGCAGGGAGCTCAGTGCGGGGCTGGATCCCAGGACCTTGAGATCATGGCCTGGGCAGAAGGCAGATGCTTAACCACCCAGGCACCCTGGAGATGTTTTTTGTTTCAATAAGTTTATTTAAACTATGGATATGGGATTTTATTTCCCATCAGGAAATTGAGAAAGTAACAGTAACAAGTGAATCAAGTTGATGGCGGTTGATTTCTTCAATACGCATCCCTTTAAGTAAATTTACAAATACAGCATTTTAGGTTACTTTGAAGTATTTAAGAATTCATCTTAAAATGGTGTCAGTATGGTTTTAGAAGATATTCTAAATATCTTTTCTTTTGTGAAACCTGCTCCTACTGTGTGTGACGCTGTTCTTCTGTATTAGCTCCCTCCATAAGGCGATACATAACGGGACTTTATGCACTATTTAGTGAAGACAGTCATCCCTTCACTTCTGATGGCCTCTTTTATACATAGAAGAAAATATGTTGGTTGGAATACAAAAGTTTTGTTAAAAATGTTACTATTAAGTAGAATTTCCATAATAGGCAGTTTTTCAAAGTGTGTCAATGCAATTTTTCCAATATTTGACACTCTTTTTTTCTCTCTAGCTTTGCTTTTAGGTTTCATTGTCTTTCTCACCTCCTTTTAAAATATTCCCTACTGTCTTCCAAAATTATATTTAGTCCCTAATTTAAAAAAGCAACTAGATATCATTTGGCTTAACATTCTAATATTTAGCCTTCTAATGAAAGAGAATCCCTTGGTGGTCTAAGTTATTTTAGATGTGTCACAGACAAAAACAAAAACCAGACTTTTGGAAATTGTAAAGAATGTAAGAGGTTTTATAATTTAATTCCCATATTTTATAGATGGCGAAACCAAGGATCAAAGATTAGGTGACTGCTTGTTATTAGCAGAACTGATAGGGAAACCCAGTGGTGACACCCAACATAGGGCCCTACCATAGTCAACATTTGCTAATTAAAAAATAATTAGCATGCATCTAAACCTACCTTGAATGTACACTGATAGAATGCATCGTTTAATGGTGTTGATCAAATCTCACTTCTCTCTCTCTTTTTTTTTTTTCTGCTGAAATAATTTGCTCACTCATGGTGGGGTCCGTGAGAAGAACTAAAACAGGCCAGGAAAAAGTTGTCAAATAGTTGTCAAGCTAGGTAGGCAACCACTGAAGTGCTGAATAAAACTGAGGAATTGTAAGAATGTAGAATTTCTTTGTGCAGGTCACAAGTAATGATGGGACACTTCATGCCTCTTCTTGTCCCCTTTCAGTAAGGATTGTTCTTTTTATGCCTGGGAATGGAAGCGAGAGATGATTGGTCACTGAATCTCAGACTATGGCTAGTAGCATATTGCCTTCTCTCTTTTCAGTTTCTCATTAGTTTGTCTTCTGCATTCATTTTCTTTCCACACATTAAAAAAAAAAAAAAAGACATCTTTGCCGGATATCGTCATCAGTTCCAATCACTCTGTAATTCCTGTTCTTCTAGTCTTCTAGCCCATGTTCAGATTGCTCCACAGTGAACTTCCTGGCAAGATTTTAATTTG